CTTTGATGCGTTGAAATAACACAAATGTAGTATTGATAGATCCACTGCGGTCAAACGACCATACACTAACTCCATGACTGCAGCTGCTCAGTCTTATGTAGCACCAGTAAGTAATAATTGTAATCTAAAGAATTTCTGCAGTGAAACTGATAATAACTTTATGTGTCAACAAGCTTAGCTCACATTCTGTTGTATATCCCACCATTCCTTCATGTTGCGTCTTGCTCGATGTATCGATGACTCAAATACGATTTGTATATCACAAAATAAATGCAATTTAATATTTAGAAATCACTATAATTGATCATTCCTATGTTAGTCATTGAGTAGATTGTACTGTAATAATCTACTAATAGCAGTAATATCATGGATACACTAGATGTACAACAACATCTGAAAAAGATTCACCCCAGTCTAGAAAATAATGTTTATGTTGCTAATAGACTGCCCATGTATACCCAGGTACCAACGTATATAATATGCAATTTGGATACAGATGATAAACCAGGGTCACATTGGGTAGCTTTATATATAGATACGAATAACGTCGGTCAATATTTTGATTCATAAGGACGATCACATGTACGATATCATCTAGAGTTTTTAAAAAGGAATTGTAAAAGAGGGAACTGAAATGTTGATAGGATTCAGAATGAGTGGACTTCAGTTTGTGGCGAATATTGCTTAATGTATTTGCTATATAAGTTTCAGGGATGTTTAATGCACAGTTTTACGAGTATATTTACAGGGAACACATTGTACAACGATATTTTAGTGGATAAGATGTTTAGCTCCTATTTTATACATAATAAGTAATAAATAATAATTTTGTAAATAAAAATTGTAACAAAATTAGGTAATGTGTTTTATTGATGATTCAGATTAGCGTTGTAGATAGGAACAAAGAAGTATAATACAATAGCACCGATAAGTCGACGCACATGCCGAGGAAGTATAGACAATGACAATAGATAAGAACAATAAGACGCTAATGACGGTGGAGGTCCTCACCGGATATCAATTAGATATTAGTTAATTAGTCTGCAAATCTCCGGAAACGTGCATCCTACGTAAAAACGGACCGCAGATTCGTGATCAGAGCATGCCAAAACCTTTTTTTTCAGGATTGTGAGTCGACGAACGTTGTACCACTTCTGACTCTGTGAGCCAGAACTGGTACAACGTAACTACTGTTAAGAGTTTCGGGGATATAACGTCACCCGGTCTTCCACCTCTCTGCAGTTGGATAGGTTTCAAACTCTGGTCCTGTACTCGGATAGCCATCGTAGCCCTACTGTACAAACACTTCAGCACTTCGATATACCGACAGTCAACTTGACACCGCTGGAGGGACTGTAGCACCGCCCAAATTTTGAAGGAATCAAAGGCTTTCTCATAGTCCACATACGCCAGGCAAAGTGGCAGATTGTACTCTTCGGTCTTCTGTACAATCTGCCGCAGGGTATGTATGTGGTCTATGGTACTGAAGCCTTTTTGGAAACCGGCTTGTTCGGGAAACTGGAAGTCGTCGAGTCGGCGTGCGATACGATTCGTAATGACTCTCGAAAACAGCACGTAGACGCGGCTCAGAAGGGAAATCGGTCCGTAGTTCTTCAAGAGAGCGTTGTCACCTTTCTTAAAGAACAAGAGCACTGCACTTCTGCTCCACGCCTCCGGAGTAGTGCCACCATGGAGGACGGAATTGAAGAGCTTCTGAAGGAAAGTAAAGAAAAACAAACTTTTCTTAAGGTATATATTATATTAAATTCATCGTTGCTTTTATCTTTTACATTTTATGTTTAGTTTAATTTGTTAATGGCAAACATTATATTTTTTGATTTTTTTATAATGGTTTCTGAAAAGGAACCAGACAAACGTTAACTAAGAAACAGAAGGGGGGAATCGAGGCTTCTCTCGAAATTTGCAAATATTTAAATTTCTACATATTTGGCTTCCTAAGTACGTGGCTAGCGTGCGTCTATGAACTCACACTATTTGAACAACTAACTTTTGCACGGCTATCGACTATCAGTAAAAATGGAAAGTTTAGTATACACTAATATCAACAATACTAGGTGAATAAATGATTGTACTCAATTCTCAAACGCCGAAAACTACCTCTAATCAGATACTTATCAGTTATCATGTTTCTTATCAAACAATATAAGTGAATGTTTTCATAAATCAATCATAGAAAATAGGCATTTGTTTTCATACAAAACATATCAAACTCATATAAGACAATACTTATGCAATTAATTTCCATTAATTCTACTTGCACAGCGATCATCTCGACCGGGGAACAAATCCGGTAACATAATTTATATCTTAAAATTCCCTATATGAATATATTAAGAGATATTACTAAGAAAACGATAAACAATTCCGCCCTGGGAGTCGAACCCAAGACCTTCATATCATTAATTCGATATTTCTTTAAGATTCAACTAAGCATTTTCTTATCGGAATATTGTTGTTTGATAATTTGCTTTTAAGAAGCTATTCGTAATCGGTTAACTAATAAATTGAAATATTCTTATAGGCGCGTCGCCAACAGTTTCTGTGGGTTGACTTGTACAAAATGAAACAATGGCAAAGTTGGAGTTATTGTATAATAATGATAATAATAAAAACAAAAATTCAAAAAAAGAAGTATAAAACAAGATACAAAAAACATACGGATAAAATTGAGAACCTCCTCCTTTTTGAGAAGTCGGTAAAAAAGCTTAAAATTATTATTTATTTAGTCACGTAGCAAGCAGGCCAGTAAACGGGTATATGGGGGTGCTTTTAGAGCATACAAAGCAAACCTGGCGCAATTTCTCTCTTAAAATATTAGAGTAAAATACTTACGACATATTGGAATACTACAACACTATATTTCTTATCCGTGTGGCAAAATCTGACAGTTTTAAAAATTAAGTAGTTAATCGTTAGGTAAAATAAAATAATATAGGTACATAAAATAGGTATCCTTACAGTAGGTACGTACTCGCAAATAATGCCTATTGCAACTAATTTGTAACCATACCTAAATTAATAAACAAACAATTAGCTTTATGACAAATTCGGTTGCAATTTTTTTTTAAATTTAAATATTCCAACTTATTATACTACAACTATTTTTAAGCGTCTCGACGACTTCTATGTTCATTTGTAAATTTATATTTCACCGCCATTTTCAATTCAGAATTCGGGGCGTCCCGCCACCGTATCCCGTTACTAGACATCGTCTTAAAATTTGCTTATTTAGATTTATTTAAAGCACTGTCTATATCTTTTTGTCATACAACAATAGTTAATGACAGTTTCTCCCAGTAAAAAAAAAAACGTTCAGCAGAAATATTTCTTATTTTTTAAAATTTAGAACGATTTTTACAACAGGTTTGTTTGGACACATGGACTAATCTAAATATTGTGAAACGAGTTCTTATATAGCAAAACTCTAATGAAAATAATATACTAATAATAAGTATATATAAATAACATTAGCCACGTATCAAAAATTTTCTTCTCGCGATATTCAAATCATAACACTATAAATTCACACCTCAAAGTTGACTAAACGTTCAAAGCGATGTGACATCACCTATGTATATGTTTAGCTGACTGTTTAATAAATCGTCGAAACTATACGTGTTTGTGTATTATATCTGTTAAGCTTTTCAATAACTTCAATATAGTAACATTAGAAAAAGACAAACATTGTTTTGGCGTTTCATTTAAATATTATTCGGAACAACTACGTGAACAACGTATAACGGTCGATGGGTGCTTGTCGGGGGTAAAAAAGTCCACCGTAAAACGGTGGCGAGGCACTCGAGAGGTTAATGAGTAGGAGCACTTATTCGGTTTTTCCCGCTAAAGAATGGTAATTAACATTTTGTGATCGGTTTCTAGTAAAAAGAAGTCCTAAACTAATATAAAATATAAATTGTTAATCAAGTGAGCATTTTGGAACTTATGCTTACAGTTAGTTAGTTATGGAATTGTAATATGTTTTCATAGTAAGAAAAAAATACCTCGAAATAATAAAGGCTTAAAACTGTTATACGTCTACATTTGTTTTACTTACCATGCTGATATGGTATTACCATAAAATGTCCTCGTAAATAATGATCATATCAAATAGTAAGTTTTACCACAAAATAGAAAAAAAATACTGAGTTTGAAGTGTATAACTCATTTTCACAAAAAATGTAGATAACTTCTTTTATCAGAAGATTCTTATGCGTTTCCATTTCCCCTTTCTCTAAATCTTAAGGATGGTCAATTTAATATCTTAACTCGCGTACGCAAGACTCTATGAGTCCTTTGGTAACTTATAAAATTGAAAACAAAAATTTATGCAACTTTTTAGCTATCATCTCTCATTCCGAGGTTTACCCATATTTTCAAATTTTTATTGTCTAAAAAGTAGTAAAAAGTGGATTCATTATTTCCATTTAATTTCTCGTCTTCGTTCTAAAACTATAAAAGTATTTATGAAAATAAGAGCATTTATATTTGTATGTTATTTCTTGTTTAGGTGCGTGCAATAAAGAGAGTCAACCGCGTAGAGTGGTGTAAGGTGTAATATCTACTACATATATCGTATTGTGGATGCATTAAGAGGCGACAGAGGGTCAGGGGTAGCAGCATTTTCCTAATATCAAATGAAAAATTAAAAAAACTGCGGTTATTAACCTGTATGTTAATCATGACAATAATTGTGGCAAATATCCCTATTAGAATCTACTAGATAGTCTGTGATCTCTATAAGGTCTATGAAGGTAGCATAAACATTTTATTGAACGTTTATAAAATGTGCAGTGACTAAATTAGCGAACTTAGGGCAATAACGCTGACCTTTTAAGTTATGTATTCAACCACACCGTCAACAAGTTATTTTTAATTACAGTTAATCGAGCGTTCTGCAAGTAACCATGGTTTTCTTAAACGTCCTTTCGATTTTGTTTAAATGTTTTATTTACTTGTTTATTGTGGCATTTACTACGTTTATGTGTCTAGTGGTTTGGTTAAAAATTTGTCTGGAGCCAAAGACAGGAATTTGCAGATGCAAAACCCGATTAGATGGCAAAGTAGCTCTTGTTACTGGTGGAAACTCTGGAATCGGATTAGAAACGGCCAGAGACTTAGCAAAAAGAGGTGCGAGGGTAATAATAGCTAGCAGGAACGCCGCGAAATCTGAGCAAGCAGTCACTGACATAATTGCTACTACAGGGAATAAAAATGTAGAGTACAGATGTTTGAATCTTTGTAAATTCAGCAGCGTGAGAGATTTCGCTGATGATTTCAACAAAACAGTGGATCGTTTGGATATTTTGGTCAATAATGCTGGATGTGCTGGTATGCCTCACCGTACTTCCGACGACGGTATAGATCTTGTGATACAAACGAATCATTTGGGACCGTTTCTGCTCACAAATTTGCTTATGGATAAATTAATATCATCGAAACCAAGTCGTATTGTAATTGTTTCATCTTGTTTCCATAATTTTGGTCGTTTAGATCTTGGCAATATTGCTGGCATCAATACTACTTTTAATATACTACTATTAGGACATTTCATTAAATACGCAAACAGTAAACTTTGTAACGTTCTTTGGATGAAGGTCCTGGCGAAAAGTCTTCCGAGCGGGGTTACAGTCAATTCATTGAATCCGGGATTTGTTAAAACCGATATTTATAATAGACTACCATCGTATATTAGAAAAGTTATAATTTTTTTAATAGATTTGATATTTAAGAACTCTACAGAAGGTGCTCAAACAATTATACATCTGTGTGTTTGTGAAGAACTAAATGGTTTTACCGGCGGATACTATAAAGACTGCAAGCTCCATCCATACCACAAGATATGTGACTATGCCAATTTTGTTGATATGTTCTGGGATAAGTGTATTTTACTTACTTCGAGAAAATAGAACTAGATTTGTAACAAATCACATTAATTTGTAGTGACATTCATTTTAAACATTTTTATTTAAAAACTTTTTTCGATAAGCAATGATGACACTTTCTAGAAACGTAGTCGTCCATAAATTATATATATTTATATACATTATGAATAATTTTTTTACCGTCTTGAAAAAAGGGTGTAAAAGGTGAACGGAATAGAATGCTATGGCACTGATATTTTGCATTTCTTTATTTTACATTAACATATATTACGAAATTGACCGATCGATAAGTACTACTAATTGGGTACGTATTATTTTAATTACGATAGTTTTTAATTGATTCATACTTAATTAGTTCAAAAATGTTGTTGTTAGTTTTTAGTACTTACCGCAAGTTTTTTCAAATTAGTAGTATTTATTGATAGATCAATTTTATAAAATTTTAATGAAAAATATTTAAAAAAATGTAAAATATCAGTGCCACAGGCTTCTATTCCGGTCACCTGTTACATACATCTTATATTTCTCAAGACGGTAAAAAAAATCACCCATTAGATATTCGTGTTAAACAATTTTAAAAATATTAATAAAAAGGATAATTAACTATTGTTTTATCTTTTAGTTAATAGATATCAATTAGTATTGACTTACTGTTTGGTATTTCACGTCATTTTTATGTTAAAATATCGATTAATATACGAAATTTAATTTTTATAACAAAATGTTATATAATTTTTTAAGCAAGTTACAACTGTTTGTTGCGACATTAATTTTAAACATTATTAATTGAAAAACTATTTTGGATAAGCAATGATGACAGTTTTCAAAGGTGTATTAGTGTTTTACTGTGTACAAAATGGACTTTTTGTTGTGTTATTTCTCGGTTAATATGAGGTTATCATTTATCATTGTCTTACTGTTTGGTATTTCACTTTTATTTTTATATTTAAATAACACATCATACTTCTTGATATGTGAGTATTGTGTAACTGGTGAGGAAATTAAATATTTTTAAGAAAATCTCGTACTATTTTGAGTTTGTTACCCTAGGTTAAGGATAATGTATATATACACAACGTTTGCGAATATACCTACGATTGATTTGACTACAGTAAAGTAATAAAGTGTGAATCGATTTTTTATCTATACATATAATAAATCTGTAGAAAAGTTGTGTCTGTAATTCTAATATTTTCGGGAAAGAACAAGTCCAGGGGACTAAATAAATGGCACTGAAGCCAAAATAGTGGTTTTTCTATCTGTCTGTCTCTTTTTTGTCTATCTGTCTGTCTGTCTATTACAAATTTACACAAAAACTACTGAATAGATTTCCATGAAATTTTATGAGTAGGTAGTTAAGGACCCGGGGCTACTTATAGACTTTTAATCCGATTACCGAATTTAAAAAAGGAGGGTTAAGTATTTTCCTTTCTTTAGATGTTAATTTCTATTTTATACGATTGATGCGTTTTATTAATATAAATAAAATATTTATCAATAAAGCCCAAAATTAGTTTTAACCGTTTCGTAATAAATTGAACTACGCCGACAATCTTCGATATTATTGTCGTATTCACTTTTTCAAGACGGTGCCATCTAAAGTAAAATACAAACGACATTTTGCCTACAGCTACGAATTATGCTGGCCGTATGAGGACACTAAAGGTCGCTCAGCGAGCTATGCAGAGGGCTATGCTCGGAGTTTCTCTGCGTGATAGACTCAGAAATGAGGATATCCGCAGTAAAACCAGAGTGACCGACATAGCCTAACGGATTAGTAAGCTGAAGTGGCAATGGGCCGGCCATATAGCTCGAAGAACCGATAACCGATGGGGAAGAAAGGTTCTCGAGTGGCAGCCTCGTACCGGTAGGCGTAGGGTAGGGTGACCCCCCACTAGATGGAGTTACGACGTGGTAAGATATGCAGGAAGTCGATGGATGCAGGTGGCTCAGGACCGTGCTTTGTGGCATTACTTGGGGGAGGCCTTTAAATAATATAAATAACTTACATTTATATAGTTATTTTATTAAATTCATAATTGATTTGAAAATTCTTTTCTATTTCATTTCAGTAGATATAAATACATTTTATATTACGTAATTAGTACTTGTACGTGGTACTTCACTGCTGGCCGTATGAGGACACTAAAGGTCTCTCAGCGAGCTATGCAGAGGGCTATGCTCGGAGTTTCTCTGCGTGATAGACTCAGAAATGAGGATATCCGCAGTAAAACCAGAGTGACCGACATAGCCCAACGGATTAGTAAGCTGAAGTGGCAATGGGCCGGCCATATAGCTCGAAGAACCGATAACCGATGGGGAAGAAAGGTTCTCGAGTGGCAGCCTCGTACCGGTAGGCGTAGGGTAGGGCGACCCCCCACTAGATGGAGTTACGACCTGGTAAGATATGCAGGAAGTCGATGGATGCAGGTGGCTCAGGACCGTGCTTTGTGGCATTACTTGGGGGAGGCCTTTAAATAATATAAATAACTTACATTTATATAGTTATTTTATTAAATTCATAATTGATTTGAAAATTCTTTTCTATTTCATTTCAGTAGATATAAATACATTTTATATTACGTAATTAGTACTTAAATAGATAATAGTGAAATCTAGCGAAAATCATAAAATGGATGTTTCTGGGTTTAATTTCTAATCTATAAAAGTTTCATGAAATGAAGATTTATTTGCTTTTAAAAAAGGGTACATTTAGGTGATCAGCCATCTGTGGATAGCATGCAAATGCATTTTTATTTTTTTTATTTTTTATAGAAGAGGGGGCAAACGAGCATGCGGCTCACCTGATGTTAAGTGACTACTGCCGCCCATGATCAACCGCAACACCAGGGGAATTGCAGGTGCGTTGCCGGCCCTTTAGAAAGGAGTAAGCTCTTTTCTTGAAGGTCCCCAGGTCGTATCGGTCCGGAAAAATCGCCGGTGGTAAACTATTCCACAGAGAGGTTGTACGCGGAAGAAAACTCCTTTTGAAACGTACTGTGGTAGACCGCCAAGCATCCAGATGGTGTGGATGGTATCGGGACGTTTGCCGCGTAGTGCGTTCACGAAATTTGGCGGCTGGGATTAATCCGAACAATTCCTCAGAGCACTCTCCATGGTATATACGAAATAAAATGCAAAGAGATGCAACATCTCTTCGCAGTGCCAGTGAATCGAGCCGATCGGAAAGCACTCGGTCGTCGACGATTCGAGCCGCTCTGCGCTGGATGCGGTCAAGTGGAAGGAGCTGGTACTGGGGAGCCACAGCCCAGAGATGGGAACAGTATTCCATGTGCAGCCGAACCTGCGCCTTGTAAAGTCGCAGGCGGTGTGCCGGCATGAAATACTGTCCCGCTCTGCTGAGCACGCCAAGCTTCTTAGAGGCCAATTTGGCTTTCTCTCCCAAGTGACCACGAAACTGCACGTCACTCGATATGTCAACGCCGAGGATTCCGATACTGGCTGAGGCAACAAGGGGAGTGCCTTGAAACTGAGGAGATACGACAAAGGGGTTCTTTTTAGCGGTTAACGCGCAAACTTGTGTCTTCTGGGGGTTAAACTGGACTAGATTTAGTCGCCCCCAATCCGAGACTCTGTTCAGCAAGGACTCGACTTCAGACACAAGTTTGTCCCGGCACTCGGAGACTTCGTTTTCCCGAGAAATATTGGCTCGGCCGGTGTAAAGAGCATCACCAGTGCTGTCATCTGCATAGCAGTGAATGTTACGGGTTTGCAACATATCATTGATATGCAGAAGAAACAGCGTTGGCGATAGCACGCAGCCTTGTGGAACACCAGCATTAATAGGCTTGCAATCGGAGCTTGCACCGTCTACAACGCCCTTGATGCTCCGATCTGCAAGAAAGCTGGTGATCCAATCGCACAATTTCTCGGGAAGCCGCACTTGTGCCAAACCCGATCGAAGGCCTTCGCAATGTCCAAACTAACGGCCAATGCCTCTCCCTTGGACTCTACTGCCTCCGCCCATCTATGAGTTAGGTAGACCAGAAGATCACCAGCTGATCTACCACGGCGAAAACCGTATTGGCGGTCACTAATCAGCTGGTGATCCTCAAGGTACCTCATGAGCAGGCAGTTTACAATGGACTCCATTGTTTTGGAGAACAAGGAGGTGATGGCGATAGACCGGTAGTTGGACGAGTCTGAGCGGTCGCCTTTTTTAGGGATCGGGTGGATGAAAGCCGTCTTCCATGATTTTGGGACTACGCCTAGGGAGTAGGAGTACCGGAAAAGATGCGTTAAAACCGGTGCCAACTTTGGAGCACACGTCCTCAGCACAGTTGAGAGGATTCCGTCAGGCCCACTCGACTTGTGGATGTCCAGGGAGAGGAGTGCTTTGCGAACCGAGCGCTGTGTGAACTGCACTTCCGGCATGGAGCACTCACACCGCGGGATGGTCGGCGGCGTAATCCCCCCCGTCATCGA